AATCTTCCTTCACTCCTGATTTGAGCCCTAAGATACAGCCTTTTTTTTTCCAGTGTGGGATTTCCTGGGACTTCTTGCTTGTGCCACTCCCGATGATAGCCATCCTGAACTGCTGCTTCTGGTGTATCATTTTCCTGAGACAGCAGACATCCTTTACAACAACTAGGAACACCAGGAAAAGAGCAAGGCCAGAGGAGGAACTGTTACCATTTTTTCAGCCCAATCCAGGCTTGTCTACAGCAAGCTGTTTCCCTTCACATTTCTCCAAAGACCAAAATGCTATTACTCAGCTTTTTCCTCCTTTGTGTGAAACAACTGAATCAAAAAAACCAAAATAGTACTTTAGATATCCTTCTAGTGTTTCACTCCCTAGTGGGTTTTTTTTTTCAATTTATACTTTTGTTGGGATGTGGTTTTATTTTTATGGGGGATTTGTTTTTTCCTCTGGTGTGTTCCTGAGGAACACCCGCCGCCAGCTGACACCATGGTACTGTGCCTTCTCTTACTGCCTTCTGCTCAGCAGCTTAACTTAGCACAGCTGCTTCAGGTCAAAGAAGAAAATCTTGACAGTTGGCTTGGCTGCACCAAAAAATGAGCAGAATGGGTGTACTCATTCTGCTACTGACAGCAGTGCAAACAGGTGCCTGTTAAAGAGCTAGTGACCTGCTTAATTAGTGGCACCCTTAACTTTTACACATACATTCAAAATTGGATTATCGTCTGCTTAAAGTTTTGGCACCAACTCTGAAGGGCAGTAGAGCCTGTTCTGTTAAAACAACTTCCATCAGGTTCACAATGTAAATTAACTCCTATTATTCTCTCTAGGAAAGTAACTTCTATAAGGTTTACAGGTACCCACCTAATTGTAAATTGGATTTTTAAATAAATTTCTGGGGCTTTTTAAGATGACAGAGATTGCTGACTCTTTTGAACAGTTACAGGAAATGATTTGCATCAGAAACACCTCAGAGTAATGCAGACTTGCCGATGTTTTACGGCCTCTAGGATCGAGGTGCTCCTGCCCAGTGACGGCATATCCTGTTAAGGGCTGTGATCTGTCTTGGAAGTCCTCTCTCCACGTAAGTTTACTTGCTACTGAAACAGTCCTGTGTATCAAGAAAGTTCATCTAAATAGAATTGGGAGATCATGGGTAATAATTCCAGTAGAGGGACAACTCTGAGATTAAGATTAAGAGAAGCTGCTCTTCTGAGAGAACATTACTGCTAATAAGCTGGAGGAGAGAAGGCTCTGATTAGCCTGGACAAAATTTGAGGTAATGGTGGCATTGGTTTGATTTGACTGTCAGGTCACCAACAGAACCCTTTCTCACCTTTTTTCCTCAGCTAAAAGCAATTCTAAGTTATATATGGTGATTTTAAACAAGTAAAAAAAACTTTTCCTAGTTTTATACATTATTACCAAACTTTTTCATATACCTTTGGAGCTATAATTTTACAGCTGATGGAGTATCACAGATTTTTAATTTAGACCAGTTACACTTGTGTGACCCTGTGTGGTTATAGCTGTAATGACTTCCTTTAAATAAAATAGATTTAATAATTTGGATTTATACACTTGATAAGAGGACATCTGGTTTAAAAAAATCACCTTAGGTTGCAAGTACCTTTTGGCACTTGAGTTTTGTTTTATACACTTTACATGATTTGCATAAAACAAGTAATCCCTAACCCTGTAGGAATACATGACCACTCACGAAGTTGAGATCTGATCCACAGAGAGGTCCAAGTGGTACAGCATTAAATACCCTACTACCTTTTAAGATTTACTTTCCTTTAAAACTTGAATAGAACATTGTTACTACCCCTTTACCAGTCTCCCTCAAACTAAACAAGTGCTCGGTTGTTAACTGTGACCTTGGAAGGTCTACTATAAAAGAAATCTGAAATTTAGCTGTAGAATAAACTTGCTAAATAAAAATAAGCAAAACATAAGTATGTTGATACTTGATAAACACTTAAAGGAAATAATCTCCAACTGGTTTGCTCTTTGCTCGCTTAAGTAATAAACCACATAGAAGAGAAAACACTATATGCTATATAATCCCCAGTGCCTTGAACTCTTTTGGAGGAATAGCATTTAAAAAAAAATCCAACAAGCAAACCTATAGGTGCTAACGAAAGAGAAGGAAGGTGTTTCTAGTTTGTGCACAGAAGTAACTGTCTCACGAGAGACGGCTTCATCTACCTAAACGGGGTCTGGCTGCTTTCTACCAAAGACACTTAGAGAAGCGAGTCGAGTCAGGGTGATGGCAAATACTACACATTTAAAAGATGGCCAAGTTCAGAAGTGGATATGTTAATCATGGATGGCTATTAATACCGAGCTCATAAATGTTGAAGCCTCAACCTCTTCTTAGGCAGAACATGCTTGCGGCACTTAAAAAAGTCTGCATTTTGGGAATTGTCCATTGTTTGTTGAATTTATTGTTATCTAATACCAAAAACTGCCATTTTTCATGATTATCACCTCCTGTATTTTTCTCTCTACTTGTAAATAATTCCTCCTAGAAAATAAGCATTAACTGGAATGTTTCAAAGATTTTGCTTAATTTTATTATCAGCCACTAGTGAACTCCTTTTATAGAACTGTACATTTAAAATATCATTAGCTTGTGCTAAATGTTGTAAAAAACATTGTTTACTGTTTTAAAGAAAAAGTGCACATTATATTTAACTGAGATTGCTAACTCTCCTTCCATTTCCTTAAAAATGGAGTCAAGGCTCACACTGACATCTAGGCTGTGGGAGCTTTGCCATTAAGTAGATACGATGTAGGAAAGTACCTTTATAAAGCATGAAAAAGAAGGCAAGAGGAACTGCATTATAAAGTGCCCGGCAGAGGACATTCTTCAGATGATTACGCACAGCTCGGTAAAGATGAAGTTACCATTTTTCTTTCAGCTTTGTTGATATTATTTCCTTCTGCTTAAATGTACACTCATTTCATTATGTGCCTTGCTCCTTGATTGTGCAGACCTATATATAGAGATATATATATATATATATGAGAGATCTATTCAGTACTACTGATGTTTTTGTTCTACTGCTGGATTAAGTTATTTTCCAAGTTACTCTTGCCAGTTACTGTCAGTAAAGTATTGTAATGGCTTAGGACAGTAGTACAGTCAGTGTAATTTTTCAGTTACGTGTTTTCATTATGTCAGCTTATCCAATCCTTAATAAAAAGAATACGTAGATTCCATTCAAACAAACATCGGGACTGTACTTGATTGTTCGTTGACCAGCACCGGCGAGAACCTAGTTTCGCTGTTCACACTGGGTTCCCCAAGGTAGACTGTGCAAGAAGCACATCAAGTGTGAAGGTAAATAAACTACAGTTTGATGTGTTCAGTTGGTTAACCTTTAACTTTTTTCTTTAAACAACGTGCAACTTGGTATAAACTATTACAAAAAGGGATGCTTTTTGTTTCAAAGCCTTGTTATCACAAGTATGTGCTGGACTGCCATGTCAGGGTATGTATAAATGTGGATTTGAATGTACTTACAAATCATGTTATTTACTAAACTAGGGCAAAAAGAATAGAAGTTCTTTTTATATTAAAAGAACTCCATGTATTTGGAGAAGATGATCAAAACCTCAGGTTCACTTACAGCAAAAATTGGGTAGAAAGTAATTATTTAGAGCAACTGGCAAAGATCCTGACACATCTTAGAAGTTACCACCTTGGCAGAAATATATTCATAAGGCACTTATTTTGTAGGATTTTATTTAGGCCAAGTTCTTAGTACACAGCAACAATTAATTCCAAGTACAACTTCAAAATTAAAAAGTGGATGCTCCCCCACGCATCTGGAGGTGGTTTAATGGCACACACAAGAAACATCACTGGCAACAGACTGCTCCCTCCAGTTTTCACTCATAACACCAACCCTCCCTCTGGGAGCTGAAGTACAACTGGCCAGATCGCAAATCGTTTACATTCTGTTTTGTAAACCATTTTGTTAAGAAAAAGATGCATGGACACAAAATATGATAAAAACTACTTTTCCATAGACTTCTGAAGGTGCAAAAGACATTTACATTTTAATGTGAAAATAAGCTTTTTGGGTTTTTTTTGTTTTTTTTTTTTTACAAAAAAACCTCAAGGTTTAGCAAGGATCATTTATACACAGCTCGGCCCTATCAATTTTTTTTTGAAAGAATTGTGAAATTCTCAAGAAATACGAACAAAGGTCAGCATAAAATAAACTTAAGGTAATGAGCGTAATGCCTCCACTGAAGAACTGTTTGTAAGGCTCTCTCAAATAAGGCTGTGCTGCGCTCCTTCCAGTGCTGAAATACTGTTGTATTTTAGCTACGTACACCTTATGGAAAAAACCATTTGTACTGAGTGTAGGCTTTTTTTTTTTAAGAAGGGTTAAAATGAAGATTACTTTCACTAGTAAAGGATGCACTTAATACACTCCTTCAAACAACACTTTGAATAGTATTTATCAAAACATACAGCACAATTAAGACAGTTGTAGAATTACCAGGCATTGGGTCAGGAATTCTGCTGTTAACTAGCTGTAACTGAAAAGACACATCTAACCTCATCAGTAAAATGAGATTGAACTAAAATTTCTGAAATCTCATCTAGCTCTAAAATTTCTGATTCTAAGTAAATAGTGTGAGAGAAATCACCTTAACACCAATCAGGAGTTTCTGGCCAAAGTTCAGAAGTGAACAGATGGTAAGTCATAGAGAGCCCCATTCTTTTTCTTTTCCAAGACTTGGCAGCCACCTGCTAATTGCTCCATCAAACCCTTTTCAAAGAGAGATGGCCTTCAGGACATGCCATGCATGGAGGAGAAAAGGCGGTTAAAAAAAAACAACAGTTCTTAATGGTGAAAGGTCACCTGCTAAAAGAAAATGGACACAGTGAAGGATAAAA